AGCTCAAGGGACTACTTTTTTGAATGGTCGGACGTACAAACGAACAGAAAATTGAACAAACCACTCGCATTTAATTTAATTGTTTAACAAATATTCTTCAATTTTAAAGCGAAGAATAAATGATGTTTTTCACACTCATTTTAGGAATTATTTTTTTCGCTCATTTTTGAATGAATGCTGCCAAAACCACAAACACTTTACATTTCGGAAATAAATACGTTTTTAACAACCATTTTAACTCTTTCATTAATCTTTTTGATTCGTGCGCGCTACATACAACAGACGGGGCTTATTTCTCTTGTCTATCGATACACAACTAAAAATTATACACTCGTTTCGGATTTTTTTTCTTCTTCTTTTATAAATTCTAAATGCAATGCAAAGTTGATAAATGACCAGCTGTTTGATGCGTTATATTCAAACAATTGAGCTGATCAAGTCTTTCACATTGAATGTAGATAGATTTTCATAAAAACTGATTTGCATGTTGCACGTGACTGGTGAATACAGCAACAGCAACAGCAGCAAACAGTAAAAAGCGAAAAACTGCTAATCGTTAATGCAGTGAAAAACACAATGTAACATGCTATGGGATCAAGTGATACCAGGGTTAATTGTCATAATTATTTGTGTTTTTTACATTTTAAATAAGTTTTTTGTTTGATTATTTTTTTTCTTCTTTTCGCACTCTCTGTTTATTGTATGACACCGGCCACGCAACAGTGTGCAATTGCAATAATTATATTACTGAAAATATAGTTCACGTCCTCGATAGCTCAATTAGTTTGTACCGTCATTTATATCATTCAATGTGATTAAACATAGTTTTTTCAATTAATTTTTTTAAACTAATTCGCTAGACATTCAAAAGAGGTAACTATGAGAAAAATTATTATTCATCTTTGAATGCTTTGTGAAACTGAGAATAGCAAGTTCTTATAAATTAATTTTTATTCTTTAAAAGTATTAGAGATGGTCGAATTTTAAAATGACTTAAAGTGAACCAAGACGATGAACTTTTTAAATTTATATCTCTATTTCACAATAGACATATAAATATTCATTAGACGAGTAATTTTGAATAAATTGAACTTAAAAAAAATGTATCCTGTTTCATATAATTTCTCGTGTGTTTCTTTTCGAAATGAAGACGAGAACATAAAACTAACACCCGGAATGATGATGTGTCAAAAATACGATTGTTAAATGGGCGAATGACCCGAAAAATTTTGGTGTACGACTTCAAGTTAATTTGTTCATTAGTTTATTATATGGCGATTTTTATCAAATCCATTACGGTTTCGACCACCATTCATTGCAAGAGGTGTTTTGTTGTTACAAATTTTCATTGAGTCGTCGTAATAATAATCACATGTTAAAATCAAGATGACGAAGCGAAATTTTGTATTCTATCATATATGTAGTCGTTAGCAAGAGGCCATTGTTTTATTTTCTTTTCTTCATTCGTGAAACGAATTTTGACTTCATGGCACATAATCTATAAAATATAGTTTATAAATCAACATCTTCTCTAATAAACTCATTAAAGTTGGCTATGAATTGTAAATGATATATACTTATTTTATGGTCATCATGGTGTGACTGCGCGTTCAAGAGTATGTATGTATGTGTTTCCGCTCATGCTTGCAATATTCGGCGTTAATTTTGGTTTTTCAGCGCGCATTCTATTTCACTTTGAAATAACATTTGGTCACCTATTTTGTTGTGTTTTTTCTGTTTTCAAAGAGCACTTTTTTCATTCGTTTTATTGAGTTGTCAAAAATGGTTCATTTATGGCCACATTTATTCAGTCGATCTATTCGAAAAGGCATGCTATGAAGTTATAAAAATGAATATTTCTTCGTGTATTAAAATGGCACTTTCTTTCGGAATGGAACATATTAATGTTCATAAAATATGGGATTAACAACAATCAAATGTATTTAATTTCCCGAATACGTGTGGATATTAGCATTGTTATTGGGGTCGTTCACTCACTAACTCGCTCTCTCTCTCTCTCTCGCTCTCACACATTTGTGATTAAGGGAGTTACTTTCCAAATGTACCGAAAAAACCCCGAATTTCGTTATTTCTATCATCTTTTTGGGCATTTTCATAAAATATGAATTATGTCGTCATATTGAACGTGGAATATAGCATATAAAACAATTCAGTTGACAACTTATTTCCTATGAAAGTACGATTACAAATTTAACGTTTTTGCATGCTTTTGCCTTGACTGATTGGCTTTCCGTTTTTTCTCGGGCCGCGAATTTATTACGTATTTCAATTTTTTTAATTTGTGCACCAACGTGATTCGGATGATTGTGGGCTTGACGATGTTGTAATTAAACGAATCACAGGCTTCGACAAGAAAAAAACTAAAAACGTGAAAAATCGCTGTTCCAATTTTCCAAGTGAAAATACACTGAATGGAATAAACAAAATAAAAAAAAAACAGCTCTTTCACTACTTCTCATTTCCACCTAATCAAGCAACAATATTTTTTCTTTTTAATGGATTTTTGTCACGTTAACACCAAACTTTTGTTTTTTTTTCCTATTCGCACATTTTTGTTTTCTTTCTTTGGCTCAATTAAAATCGATGTTGGCACGAAGACTATACGAAAGTTTTGCTCCCTCCTTTTAATTGAACACTCGAAACGGACAAGCTTTATAAAAACATTCGAATTAATGTTTACACGCGAAGAATTTGAAATTTTTCCCCAGTCAAAAGTGGGATGATTATGAAAAAGTTTCAAATTAAATAAAAAAAAACTTAAAAAAATGAAATTGTTCAAAACCAAAACTAAAAAGTAAGTCATTTTGTCAAGGCCAGAAGAAATTAATAAGGAAAAAAAAACAATTTTAAAAAGCAAACTTATTAAAAATTGAGCGCTGTTTTGACAATGCAATTTGTTATAGATGTGCGATGCGACATATGTTCCACATGCTGAACATATTTCATAAATTATGTTACTTTAACGCTAAACCATCAAGAATAGTTTATAGCTAGAACGTTTCTATCATCTGGTGCATTGCAAATGATGAGAATGACAAGGCAAAAGATTTGAATAACCCTTAAGTAAATAAAACCAAATGATTATTGTTTTTGTTTGTTTTTGTGTGAGCGATGATGCTGCAGTAAGTTACATAATAAAAAAACATAAAAGAGGGGGCCGGCGTGAGTGAAAAATCATTTAGTGAAATTTTGACAATGGCAGAAAGGCCACAACTACAAGTATAGGCAAGAGATAAGAACAGAAAATATTAGAACAGTGAACCCTCTTATTTTCATCTAAATAGACACACACACTCAGTCACTTTGGATGCAAGAGAGCACATGTACGCATAAGCGTTTAGTGTGTAGCATTGCTTTCAATCAAATCGGAAATTATAATCCCCATATCTGACTGCCGCATCGGATTTATATTTTGTATCAATGTCATGTAATACATTTTCACCGTAAAAACACCATCAGCTAACAATATGCTGATGAGACGAACGAAATATACACTCCCCACAACATTCTCTCTCTCTCTCTCTCTCTCTCTCTCTCTCTCTCTCTCTCTCTCTCTCTCT